CCCCTAATCACCTTCCATTAATCTCATAAAAATCCAACCTTTATACCACCTTCTCTCACAGATCCATTTGACCTTTAACCTATTAAACATGTTAAAAAGTTTTTTTAAAAAAATTATATTAATTTCCCTTCTCACTCCTCCTCTTTCTCTCTCCTCTCTCCAACAACCCACCAATTCCGCCACCCCAACAACCCACCAAAAACCCGATCACCCCAGCCAACCTAAAACCCGACCACTGATAAGTCTATTTTATGTATATTTTTATTCCCCGTCCTACAGTCATATTTTTGCTTATTTGAGCTCTATGGTGCTATTTTTATTACTAATATACGTTTTCTAGTGTTTTTGTAGAGTTGGTATTATTTTGTAGGAATTTGTAGAATTATGGTAATTCCCGAGGTTATTGAACCACTACAAAGACATTGGAGTTGGATCGTATTTTTATGACCGGATATTTTAGCTCAAGGCCAAGTTAGAGAATTTAATTCAGTGATTAAGGGCTCAGTTAAATGAAAGAGGTTCAAAATTCCCGCAAGAATTATGGACCATCTTAATTGAGGGCTAGAACTTAAGTCAATAATGTTAAAGTCCAAGGCCCAATTTCCGCAAAAGAAGCCTAGCTCGTTGACGCTGCCAGATCGCGGGCCCGATCGAGAGATTTTGCTGCTTGCGTATTAAGTCGCCCGCTGTTTGATTTGGGCCTAGATACACTCCGTATCTGATTGAGGCCTTTTCATAATAATTGTGTAATCCTTGTTTTAGTGGGAGTGGGATTCTTGGATTATATGTTTTTACTACTCCTTAGGAGGTAGTAGTTACGTAGGTGGGGGTAACTTTAGATTAATTAGTTTTAGTTTCCTAGCTTTAGATTAATTAGTTTTAGTTTCCTTTTAATTAGTTTTAGTTTTCTTTTTTTTTTCTCTCTCTAACTTTTCTCTCTCTCCCTTAATTAAACTCTTAGTATTATTTTCTCTCTTGTTTCTCTCTCTACAACTCTTGGTTTAATCGCAGTTATTTATTTTTTTTCTTTCATCATGTCTCCTTTAATTGATTTGTTTATTTTATATTTAATTATGTCTGAGTAGTTTCCTTTCTAGGGTTTGTGGGGATCCATAAATAATATGAGGGGGTAATTTATTGTTGTTAATTGTCAATGCTAGATTAATTTCCTATTGATTGATTTAATGCTCTGTGACTAGATTTGCGCAGATCTTTTATGCATGAGTTTAACAATATTGATTCGAGATTCGACAGATGAGAATTAATGTTTAGGTCTAGTTTCAATAGGCAGGTTAATTTATAAATGGTTAAGTCGAGATTCGAAAGATGAGATTTAATACTGGTAAATTAATTGTGTGATTGTAATACGTAGCGAAAGCCCTTTATGATCTGATTAATGTATGCATTGATGAATGATCGTTATATTCTACCCTGGAATATTATTTATTGGTGAACCTATGCCCTAGATCCTTTTATATATTATTTTCTCCTTATTCTTAATCTTCGTAGTTTAGTTTCATATTCAAATTCACATATTGGTTACTTTATAATTTAGATTACTTTAGTTAATTAGGAATAGAAAGACTCGTTTCTCTGTGGATTCGACCCTACTTCCCTATCTACATTAGTTAGAGGATTTAAGAATTACTTTTGATTAGGGGATACGACTTTACCCTGTCAACCACCTTAAAACCCCGACCACCCCAGCCAACCCCGGCCCACAAAACCTGGCCCTAACACCAACCACCCTAAACCCCGACTACCCTAGATGCCCAACCACCCTAGCAACCTAAAGCCCGACCACCCCAGCCACCCACAAATTAAAACTCGACCCACAAAACCCCCTCCCTTACACCAACCACCCTAAAACCCCGACCACCCCAGCCAACCTAAAACCCGACCACCCCTAAACTCGCCCCCTATTTCTTCTTGTTTAAGGGTATGGGTGTCGTGGGTGGTCGTGTTTAGGGGTGACATCGTGGGTGGTCGTGTTTAGGGGTGACGTCGTGGGTGGTCGTGTTTGGGGGTGGTCGTGTTTGGGGGTAGTCCATGGTCGAGTTTGGGGGTGGCTGTGGTGGTCTGTTTCGGGTAAGGGGTGGTAGGATTTAAGGGTATGGGTGGTCAGTTTCGATTAAAGGGTGGTAGGATTTAAGTGCATGGGTGGCTGTGGTGGTCAGTTTCGGGTAAGGGGGGTTGGTGTGGTGGTTTAAGGTGGTCGGGTTTCAAGGTTAGGGGGCGGTGGGGATGGGGATGTGGTGGTTAGGTGCGGTGGGGATGGGGATGGGGTGGTCAGGGAAGGGGGTGGGGATGGGAATTTTAGCTTTTCTGATTTTTTGTTTTTTTTTTTTTTTTGTTTTTTAATGATTAAAAAAATAATTGACCAACTAATGACTGACACATGGCACATAAATTACAAAAATCGGTCATCAACAAGTAATGGATCTGTGGGAGAAGGTGGTGTATAAAGGTTAGATTTTTATGAGATTAATTAAAGGTTGGATTTTTTTTGTTAGACCGCGCAAAGGTTGGATTTTTAGTTTCCATTTTTCCTTTTTTAATAACAAACCCATCAAAACTTTTGATGCGAAATAAATGCATGAGACTGCAATTATCTAACTAAAGGTTGTAATCTATTAGAAAAAAGTTTTCAAAACCGTGCGTGGCACGGGATCTAAGCTAGTTTACAATTAAATAAGTATATCAAAATAAATATAATAAACTAAAAAAAGGGAAAACTCCCGGCCACTACGCACAGCCAAACCCTCCCCCTTTCCGACGGCCGACAACCAGCGACCATCTCAGCTCCCTTCTTTGTCGCTGGCTACCATATCCCCTCCCTTTCCCCATTCCCATCCCTAAACCTACCCAACTTCCAAACCTTAAACTCAACCCCCGAAACCACCCTAAACGAGTTTCCGGGGTGACGTTTAGGCTAGTTTCGGGGGTTTTGGGGTGATGTTTCTAGGTGGTGAAGGGGAGGGGGGTCGATTTAGCTAGGTGGGTTCGGGGGATGAATATTCACCAAGAAAGAGGATTATGCCTCATCCAAGAAATCCAGTGAGAAGGGGTGTCGTTTAGCGGTTCACCGAACTCAACAAAAGAGGGGGGGGGGGAGCAAAAGTGATGATAGACAAGTGGATGAAACGAAACATATTTGACAACTACCCAAGTTCATGAAGCGCAACATGGATGTTGCGAATGCCGCTGGAGGAGAGCGTCAGCGAGGTCGTAGGAGGAAGAATGGATGTTAAAAGAAGGTCTTTGCCCATGGTACACCTCTCAGTAGAAGGGCAATGCCAAGAGCTCCGTCAATCCGTTGTTCATTGAATGAAGAAAAGTTCAGATCCAATCTTCAAACAAAAAAGCGAGATCCTGCCACCACACGCGAAGGTGCACACTCGTCCGTCTCCCAAAGAGAGATGCGGCGGTGGTGAAGAGACAATTATCTCACTTGCAAACATATCTGGGTGGGATCAAATATATGACCTTTCTTATGCTGGTATGGTACAGCTGATCAAATCAGTCCGGCAGACCCGATGCGACTGACAGATAAGCCGACGTTAATCTCGGAGTTGATGAGTGAAGGAAGTGATGGTGGTTTGGAGAAAGAAGAGGAGAGAGAATTCGTGGGTAAGGGGAATGGGAAGGGAGTGGGGTCACCGGCGCTGGGGTAGGGAGGTGGTCGTTGACGCCGACACCTGGCAGGGGCTAGCAGAGGGTGGGGGAAAGGGATGACTGGTTTTTTATTTTTAGTTTTTATAATTTGTTTAATTTTAGTTTTTAATTAAATTTAATACATTATAAAAAAATTTAAAAAATTATTTTTAATATAAAAAATTACTTGTTTGGTAGGTTGTAGGTCATTTAACCTATTAAAAGAAAATCCCCCTTAAAAGTCGACTTATTTTAAGTTAATCGTACACAAAGGCTGGCTAATTCTTAACAAATTTTCTTTCACAAATCCCCACCATATATATAACCAAAAGACCAAAATCTTTTATACTACGTATAATTTAAGAGATTTTTCTCAACTTCTCACCATAGCACTCCAAAACCCAATATCTCAATTCTCATTCACTCCCTTTTTTCCATTCAAATAACATCCACCGGTCTTCTTTCACTATTACTCCCTTCGTTTTTAAATACTTGCTTCACTTTCCTTTTCTGGCCGTTTTTAAATACTTGCTCCATTTTCTTTTTTGGAAAGCTTTTACAATATATAATTCATTTCTCACATTAGGTGGACCCAATATAATACTCTCTCTCCTTCTATCCTTCCACTACGTTTGCTTTTTATAATTTTTTATTTTCTTAACTACCCCACTACCTCCATATTTTATTACTCTCTCCAATTTCTCCTAAAACTTCGCGCATGGAAAAATGGAGCAAGTGTTTAAAAACAAAGGGAGTATTTTTCCTAATAACGCACACTACCCAAAAAAAACTACCTACGCAGTATTTTTGTGTTATACATAGCCCTTAGGGCTACATATAAGCATTAAAAACACTCTTGAAAATTGTATTAATGTAGAATATCATGACAAAAACACACTAATTACATTGATTTACGCGTGTTTTTGTCATGAATTCCTAATTTTATACATTTTTCAATAGTGTTTTTAATGCTTATATATAACCCTAAGGGTTATGTATAATATCGCCACCATAAGTTCCACTATTTTCCTTTTTAAAAATTCTTCCAATTGTTTATTTATTTTTTTTAAAAATTAGTTAACTATACTTTATTATTAATTCAATAATCATGAAAACAAAAAATATATACATAATGTTTTTTAAGCGACAATACGTTTTTTTTTTCGACAAGTAGCGTGATTGGAGTAACCCCTATATTACTGGCGGAGTAACTTCCTATAATACAAAACGCATAACCCTTATAACACTGGCGGGATAACACAATAACACTAAAAGGATAACCCCTATTACATTGACAAAGTAACTTCAATAATAGCTAGCTATACGGAGTATCCAACTACCTAAAATAGTAAGTTACTACATCACAAATAACTTCACGTATTTAAAATACATATTGTTATTAGATCTTTGTAAATATCTTTCGATAAAATATACTCCCTCCGTGTTTTTTAAAGTGTTATACTTACTAAATCCAGCCGTGTTTTGATAAGTGTTACACTTCCATTTTTGGCAAAAAGTTACATCAAAATATTATATCTCTTTCCACTCATGGTCCCTATCCAAACCACTACTACTTTTTTTTTTTTTCTTATTTCTCCTCTCACAGTCATTACCTTTCATTAAATTATTAATCCTACTATCTTTCTTTTATAATTTTTTTAATATTTTAATTACCCCACCAACCTCTTATTTTATTTAAATCAATTAAATTGAATAAAATTATAAATCAATCAAACTGTAATACTTAAAAAACACACTGAGGGAGTATATTTTGTGCATTTTGGACGAGTACACCTAATGGTGAGAAAATGAAAGAAAACCGCCAAATAATTAAACCCATCATTCTTTTATGTCGTACAACATGATTCAAAATATCCAAACCCAAAAAAACCATCCAAACAAACAAAAAGAAATAATAAAAAATTCAAAATACAATCCATGCTAACGAACATTTCTATATAAAGTTGACTACTTATTCCCATTCTCTCTCTTCTTCTTCATCACATCACATTTTCTCTGCAATTTCTTACTCATCTCCATTTTTCTCTCTCCTTTCATCATTTTCATTCTCAAATATTCAGCTACCTCTTCAAACCCACACTATCTGGTAACCATTTTTTTTTAAAAAATATAAATTATACTGTATTTTTTTCTTACTATTTTCTCTCTCCTCTTCCAGGTTAAACGATGTCGTATCATGGCGGTAGCAGCAGCAGCAGAGACGGTGGACAAGGCTACGGCGGAGGCAACTCCAGCGGTCATGTTAGACGTGGAGGAAGAGATAACCGCGGTAGAAGGGGCCGAAGAGGAGGAGGTGGTGGTGGTTCAGAGGCACCGGACGTCGGGACATTGACGAAGAAAATCTGGGTAGAAGCGGCGGCGGGTGTAAGGATGATCGATGGAATGAAGAATCTGAAAGTGTCGGAGTCATTGTCGTCGTCTTCGCAAGGTCATGAACCGCTACTGATACCGAAACGGCCTGGGTCTGGTACTGTTGGACTCCATGGTGCTGTTCGCGCTAATCACTTCCTCGTTCAACTACTTTCTGTTAATGATTTTCGTCACTACGATGTAATTTTACTATCTCTCTCATCTTCTCCATTTTTGTGAAAACTTTTATTCCTTGATGATCACGTCATTATTTCTGTGAATCTGGTTGATGAATGGGTTGATGGATGTTAATTTTATTTATTTTTTATTTTATTTATTTATTTATTTTTAACTGGATTTTGATGGTAGTTTTGTCTTAATTTGATATTACCTTGATTTTTTTTAAAATTATTTATTACTTATTATTATTGTTATGAGTATTTATTTTTGGAAAAGGGTGTTGATGGTAAATACGAATAATGTCACAAACTCACAATATTTGTTGTAAAATGTGTGAGTAATTTTGGGTATAATGTTTTTGTGTTGCTGTTTATCAATGATTCCGATTTAAGTGAGAATTAGACGTCGTGTATTTTGGGTCCTCTTTCAAAACGATGATTCATTACCAAAAAAAAAAAAAAAAAAAAAAAAAAAACCCTCCCTAATAATAATGGTTATGTTATGATCGAATAATATTGTTGGGTTAAACTGTTTTTGTAAAAAGGAAATGTAAAACCCACTTTTTAATATTTTTTTTTTTTTTGTTACAATTTCTGAATATTGGGTGTTATTCTGTAACGTTATGCACATTGATGGGTTTCTATTTCTAACGAATTTAGCTTACACAGTTACACACAGTTTAATGGTTTTTTCTTGTAAAATGATGGGTTTTACGGAGTAGTTAGCTATTTATATATTTATATATGTAGCTTCCACTTATCCTCTCACAAGTAAAATTCTGTAAGAAAGTGAGAAGTAAAATTTTGGTTCTGTGCTCTTATAGACTTATAGTTTAGTATAATGTGGAGTACTCTTAATTCTAGCTTTCAATTATGTAAGCTTATGTTAGATATTGTAGATAACAGTAAAGAGTGAAATGAGGAGGCAAAATTTTCAGTAATTTAAATTGCTATTATTTCTTGATGCAAACGATGCAAGTTTACTCTTGGAATTTTTCGTAAGTACTGTACTAAGTATGCAAACGATGCAAGGATTGTTTGTAATGGTTTGTAGCTATGAATATTAGTATGACCAACTTTATGTCCTTTGATATCTATTAAAACTTGATGGCATACTGATGCTGTTTTCTTTATGGAGCAGGTGTCAATCAGTCCAGAGGTAGCCTCCAAGAAATTTAGTAGAGAGATACTGGATAAGCTTCTACGTGATAATGAAGACGAGCCAATTTTCGAGGGCAAGATTCCGGCGTATGATGGTAAGAAGAGCCTCTATATTGCAGGTGCTTCATCAGTCACATCACAGGACTTTGTCGTTGGAATGCAAAAACAAAGAAGAGGCAGTTCTGAGAGGTATTTTATGCTTCTATCTCTTTGAAGTTAAAGGTTGTCTATTCATGAAAATAACAAGTTTTCGCTAACCTTGTTTGAATTGTTATGTTCGATTGTCAGTGAGGTTCAGAAATTCCAGGTTACTATCAAACTGGCTAAGGAGGTTGATAAACATTTTCTGCAAGAGTACCTTGCTGGTCAATCCTCAGTTCCTCCCCAAGATGCCATCCAAGTGCTTGATGTTGTTCTTCGTGCAACAAAGCCTACAGAGTAATATTTCTTATACATCAATCTTTTTTAAGTGTTTAACTCATAAATTCCTGTTGCCTTTTGTCTTTCGTTAAGATGCTGACAAATTTTGCTTGTTTTTTGTAGCTATGTGTTGATTGGGAGATCATTCTTTTCGAAATCACTGGGCAAGGATTCTCTTGGGGAAGGTTTAGATTACTGGAGGGGGTATTATCAAAGCATTAGGCCAACCCAGATGGGCCTATCTCTAAACATTGGTACACTCTTGGCTAAATTATTGCAATATTGTATTGGCTCTGATTGTAGTTCCACCTGTGCTAACCAGATTGACTCTTTGATATTATAGATGCATCTGCACGGCCCTTTTATGAACCAATAATGGTTGATAAATTTGTGGCTAAACATTTGAATCTGAAAGAGCGAGATTTCTCTGGGCCCTTTTCTGATGCAAATCGTAACAAGGTACTGTAGTACTTGTGTTGCAGTGGTCATTTGTTGCATCCATTATTTCATCATTTTCATTCTCTGTAACTTTTATGTTTGTGCTTATATCAGGTCAGGAGAGCACTCAAAGGTATCATAGTGGAAACAAATCATTTACGATCTAAGAAATGCTACAAAGTGGTAGGCGTGTCAAGTGTTTCCGCAGACCTGCTGGAGTATGATTTTGGACTATAATTTTAAGCATGTTTTATTTGACATTGAGTGTACTAACATTCATTTGTGTTTTGATGTCTCAATTTTTGCTATTGTTTGTTGTGGAATGTGTAGTGTTATCCTTCTACCTCACTTTTTTTTTTCCTCACCTCTTGTTGGGTTGATGCTTAATCTAACCTTCCATGAAGTACATTATATAGAAACAAATTGTCTTGCAGGATTATCAATGTTGTTAGGTTGTAGATACAATGTCTTGTAAGCATATAAATAAATTGATATTGTCCAGCAAATTGTCTCATCTGTACATGGTTTCTTATGTTTGAAGCTATTGTATCTGATGTAAACTATTTCTAGTTGGGATTTTGAACTTGCAATATCCAATACTAAGCATAATGATGTTGCATTGTAGGTTCGATCTTAGCAGTAATGAGACCAAGACTGTCGCAGAGTACTTCAAAGACCAGCACAATATACAGCTTACACATCCAGCTTTACCATGCATCCAAATTGGGTCGGCTAAGAGGCATATCTATCTGCCCATGGAGGTCTCCTTTTTAATTCACTTGTTAATTTACTTTCTTTGTATCACGCATAAATGATATTAAAATAAAAATTCTTCTCTTTCTTGTAGGTCTGCAAAATTGCTCATGGTCAAAAATACCCTAAAAAGTTGAACGAGAGCCAGGTGAATGGTCTTCTTCAGGCAACCTGCCAAAAACCTCTTGAAAGAGAGAGTAAAATTATCGAGGTAAACTTTATAAGAGAGTTTGTCATTCTGATGTATTCTAAAATGTTTGCAGGTTTTGTTGTACATGCAGTTGGTTTTATTAATCACCATTCTTTTTAATCTCTGAAGATGGTGAAAGAAAATCGCTACTCTGAAGATCAGATGGTCAAGCAGTTTGGAATGAAAATGACTGAAGAGCCTGTAACTGTTGATGCCCGAGTATTGCCTCCACCAAAGGTATGTTGGTTTTGTTGTTACAATCTCTGTTTAACTTTTATCTTGCTTTTTTTTTTTTTAAGTAAAGCACCCCTTGCACCTACTGACTTGACAAATTGCTTTTATCTAGCTCAAGTATGGAGCTGAACAAGAAGTTGCTCCAGGGGAGGGCCAGTGGAACATGTTTGAAAAAGTAAGATTTGGCTATTATAATCTTCGTTTGATTACAGCATTCTTTATATCTAACTGGTCAGTTTGTATGTGTAGAAAATGTATATTGGTGCTACTGTGTCAAACTGGACTTGCCTGAATTTTGCAAGACGAGTTGAAGATTCAGTGCCAAAGTTTTGCAAGGACCTGGTTGACATGTGCTCTAGCATGGGAATGGTATGGATTCAATAGATGAAAATTATTAATTTCTTTGTGTGAATGTTTCCTTTTGTTGATTTTGTTCTGCCATTGTCAGAACTTCACCCCGAACCCTGTTCCTCGTATACGCACTGTTGATCATGCTCAGATTGAGAAAGCTCTTTCAGAAGAGGGAGATTATTCAGCTAAGGTGCAGACCGTGCAGTTGCTAATTATTATTTTGCCAGATGTTGCTGGGTACTATGGTATGTGAATTTGTGACTTTGTCTATTCTCTAGATTTATATGTTGTGCTTGCTTGTTGGTTGAAAGTAATAGAGATTTCTGTATCCATGCAGGGAAAATTAAAAGAATATGTGAAACTGAGCTCGGTATAGTTTCTCAATGTTGTAAGCCTAAGAAAGATAAATTTCCTAACAAGTCGTATCTTGCAAATTTGGCTTTGAAAATCAATGTGAAGGTGAGTGCTGAAAATCACGAGTCTAATGTGAGTACCTAACCACTTAATTTAGCATTTTCTTACCTACTGCTAAGCCAATGTTTGCCGCAGGCTGGAGGAAGCAACACAGTCTTGTGTGATGCGATACAGAGAAATATTCCCCTCTTGACTGATTGTCCAACGATAATTTTTGGTGCTGATATCACACATGCTCAACCAGGGGAGGATTCTAGTGCCTCAATTGCAGCTGTATGGTTTTTCAAGCTCTGCTGTCCAGCTTTCTTGTTAGTGCTATGGATTCACGGTGATCAGCTGTTAATTGCTGCTCGCTATTGCAGGTTGTTGCCTCAATGGACTGGCCTGGGGTGACCAAGTACAGAGGGGTTGTTCGTGCCCAGGGTCATCGGGAGGAAATTATTCAGGATCTGTATGCATGTGTTAGGTAAAATAATTGTAAATGTTGCTCAGGAAGTTGCCAAAATCATTATTCTGACTTGTGAGTTTCTAATCTATCTCTTGTGCTTGTAGAGAACTTCTGGAAGCGTTTTTGGAGGCAAATAATAAGAAGAAACCTGAGAGAATTATCTTCTTTAGGTACAATTTGTTGCTCAAATCGTTTGCTAGTCAAAAACTTTGTTGTCTGTCATTCATACTCACTCCTTTTTTATTGGGCAGAGATGGAGTAAGTGAAGGCCAGTTTGCTCAGGTTTTGCAGTATGAGGTTAATGTGATACAGCAGGTATCAGTCTTTTGACAGGAAATCTGAGCTTAATTTTCTGAATGAGTTGATTATTATGCTGTGACATGTAGTTGGTAGCAACAAGTAAGCGAGTCTGAAATGTTAATTGCAGTTGAAGTGCATTCTGCTGTTATTGAATATTTACTTCTGTTCAATCGTTATTGTATAATGTTTTTGTTTTCAAGGCCTGCAAATCCATAGAAGCGAACTATCAACCACGTGTGACATTTGTGGTTGTGCAAAAAAGACACCACACCCGGCTTTTCTCCAAAGATAACAAAATGGTTGATAATAAGAGCGGCAATATTCGGCCAGGTAATTATATTTCCAAATTTATGCTATTCTTGTGAGGCACTGTCTCTATTTATTAGTGATCCTCGTAATGACTTTTTCTTATCCCAGGAACTGTGGTCGACAGCAAAATTTGCCATCCATCAGAGTTTGACTTCTATCTATGCAGTCATGCAGGGATAAAGGCAAGTCATTTTGGTTGGCTTCAGTCTGTTAGTTGGCTTCAGACTGTCCAACGATAATTACTGGTCATTTAACTATGTGCATATTTCTGCCTAGCCATGGCCATTGATTTCACTTCCTGCAACCCAATCTTGTGATTTTATTGACATTGTGAATGACATGTTTAGGGAACAAGCCGACCCACACACTATCATGTGCTCTACGACGACAACTATTTTACTGCAGATTTTCTCCAGCTGCTGACCTATAGCTTGTGTTACACGTAAATACCCGTTTCTTACAATTAGTTTCTCAATGAATGTAATTACAACTTATAAGTTTTTCCTTTCTGATTATCAACTGTGTCTTTGAATCCTGTTTTTCAGGTTTGCTAGGTGCACACGCTCAGTATCTGTAGGTAAGTGTTAAATAAAAGTTGTTTCTTTCTTTCATCACCTCTCTGTGTTAGGATACACTAACCATAAACTTTGTTTGGCAGTTCCCCCAGCTTATTATGCACACCTTTTGGCTTTCCGTGCTCGGTTTTATGTTGAAGGTATGACCATGTCTGATAGTGAATCAACAAGTGCCAAAGATCTGACCAAGGACAAAAAACCAGAGGTTCAGCCACTTCCAGAGATCAAGGAAAATGTGAGGAATGTCATGTTCTATTGCTAGGAGGAATTGCAGCATTCTCTACCTGTTACTAGTTTTTGCAGTTTTCGCTTATTTTCTGGAGCTATGAAGTTCGAGTTATGTGGGTGGAAAATGTGCCCAGGAGTTTTAATGTAAGGTACACTTTTGAAAACACTGAAGTTTGGTCTAGTTTCAAGTTTTACACTGTTAAAGTTTTTGTTAAGAATGTGAAGACTAATGTTTTGAAGTGTCAATATTTGGTCAAGACTTTATTAGTTAATTTTGGAATATGTTACTGTTTTCTAATTGTTAGCTACTGTATAGTAGTAACACTTGCTAATTAATATTACTACTACCGACTAAGCAGTACCTACTATTTTACCTATCACCTTTTTTTTTCTTTTTAATTTCACATGTTTTTTTAAAAGATAATTTCAGAGTTTATAAAATTTGATATCTTTAGTTGGCCTAAATTAAACAAGATTTATTATGATATGATCGGTGGATTTTGATATTTTAAATATTGCAAAATAGATTAACTTGTTTTTTATGCTCATATTTTGTGATTGATCAAGATAGGAGCTGATTTCCAGCTCCCCAATTTTTTCTTACAACCATGTTTCAAGCTATTTCCTTCCCAAGCCAATAGCTTGAAATAGGAGTGAGTTTAAGGTCTTGTTTAGTAAAGAGTTTTTTTAAAGAACTTTTAGCTTATTGAATCTATCGGAGCCGTTTGACCATTATCAAAAAGCTAATTTTAGTGTTTGGTAAAAAGCTTACTAAAAGAGGTTTTCGGATTAAAAAAACTTTTTTTTGAAGTTGTTGCATATAATAAACAACTATTTTCCCGTCAAAAAAAAAATAAACAACTATTTATCAAACACTTTTATACAACCATCTATTTACACCCACCTAGTTCATTATGTTAATACAATTAGCTAATCAAACCAAACAGGGCCTAAATGACTTGAATGATTTCCCCTAATGTATCTTAGTGTTTCTTTCCCCAATGCTTGATCACAATTTCATGAATGACTAGTAAGGTTACTTAACCATAGTTCCTATTATCTATCATTGAATCTACTACCCTTTGTCTTAGCAAGTTTACATGATTATGTATGGTAAGATCCAAGATTCGATCATGTAACGTCAAATGTACCACTATTAAGGGGGCGTTTGGTATAAATTTCGTAAACGGAATAGAGAGGATTTATATAAGTAAGGGAAAGAGTTATGATATAAGTTACCTTTGTTATATACTACGTATATGTTTTGTATCTTTATGGAATGAAAATAAATTGAGGAGTTAATGATTGAGGAGGGAAACACATTTTATTTCACTAGTTGGGTAAGGATAACAATTTGGGGGATTTTGTTACCCTTTGGAAACGGCATTTGTTACTTGTAGCTCATACCAAACTAATAGAAAGGGAAACACTTATTTATTTACGTTTCCTACATTACAAATTTTCATACCAAACACCCCCCTAATAGTCTCAATATACTATGTGTTCGGGCATACAATTTTTGGTCTAGACTCCAGGCTTGGCCTGATTCGAAGCTTTGGTCTAAAATCGACCAATTCATTAGGTTCAATCTAAACTAACAAACACATACAATATACAATTGAATCAAGCAAATGTTTTATTCATTATAATTTATAACTGCAATTGTTGAATAAATTGTGCATTGTAACAGTCTCACAATCAATAAATACCAATTCATAAATTCATTCAATTATAAAAACTTAGTTGATGAAATAATTAGAGTACAAGAGTAGAATATATTATAGCTCACCAAATATCAAATATATTGGACGAAAAATAAACTTTCCTCTTACATTAATAACCGTTGAAAAACGTAGTAGTGACGTAAACAACTACTCTACTTAATTTAGAAGTCCCATAAAATTTCCCGGCAAACTTTTTAGACGGCGGCCTAATCCTTTCCTATCTAATTCCTGCAAAACCCTAATTTCAAACTTTTCTCTCTCCTCCGACAAAATCATCTCAAAATCCCCAATTAATCCAGTTTGTTTCGAGATTCAAGCTCAAAGTTAGGGTTCTAATTGATGTAATTTGCTGTTAATTGCTTTAATGGCGGAAGATAGAGACGAGGAGAGCGATTACACTTCGGATGATGAAGGAACTGAGGATTATCGAAGAGGAGGTTATCACGCAATTCGAATTTGTGATACTTTTAAAAATGGAAGATATGTGATTCAGAGGAAGCTTGGTTGGGGCCATTTTTCCACTGTTTGGCTTGCTTGGGACACTCAGAATTCTGTAAATTTCTTCTCTATTGATCTTTAATTTAATGCGATTTGTTCGTTTTTATGTGGTTTGAAATTTTGGTTGAATAATTTGTGTTCTTCGCTCTGTTATTGATTCTCTATACTTTGTTTTTTCTGCTGAATCAATGAGTTTGATATGAATATTTGGTATGTAAGATACTGAATGTTTTTTAAGTTAGGAATATAGTGTTTATAATGAATGAAATGTGAAAATAAAATTAGCAGTAGATTTGCAATTAGAATGAGGGTAGGTAACTTCCAGAGTTGACTTGGAGAATGATATAAGTTTTGGTGGAAATTATAGTTGTTGATGAGTAGGTTGCAGCAGCATTGATGCTGAGAGTGATTTGCAGAGACGGGAATGTGAATTGGAAGTTGGAACCGTAGAAATGCGGCATCGTGTGTTTTCGAAAAATGAATTAAGGAAATGGCTATAAAAGTACAAATTATGAGAGTGTAAGGTAGTTAGAACTCAGAAGTTTGTTTTGTGAATAGCTATTGGAAAGGCTACTTTTGTGTATTTTTAACTAGACAAGGGATTTTGGGAGCCAAAGGTGATTCTGGATGACTGAATGTGTGAACTTATTGGTAAAGGTCCGGTTATCTGCTTTTGATTTTGTAGTATGTATCTGAAACGAGGAAACATGAGGTTTCATGTAACACTCTTTGAGATTAAATATGTTGTATCTCAGATTAAGAAAATCAAAAGCGAAAGGCTAAAGTATAAAGAAATCTTGTATTGACTTTTTTGGATTCATGTTTATGGTGATGTTTGTATAGGTTGATAATATGCTCTAGGATTATTGTTAGGAAAATGATTTATGATTTAGTCGCTGCAATTTTCTCACTTAAAATAGGAAAATAATTCTTTTCCGTTACTAATGAACACAAAAATACTATTACTTGCTTCTGGTAGATGTATGTAGCTCTGAAAGTTCAAAAAAGTGCAAGACATTACACGGAGGCTGCAATGGATGAAATAAAAATTCTCAAATTGATCGCAGATGATGATCCTGATGATAAAAAGTGTGTTGTGAAACTTTTGGATCATTTTAAGCATTCAGGTCCAAATGGGCAGCACGTGTGTATGGTGTTTCAATATTTAGGGGACAACCTCCTGACCCTTATCAAGTATTCAGATTACAAGGGGATTCCACTTCACATGGTTAAAGAAATTTGTTTCCACATTTTAGTTGCTCTGGATTATTTGCATCATCAACTGTCAATGATACATACTGATCTTAAGCCAGAGAATGTCTTACTATTGTCCATGATGGATCCATCAAAAGATCCTAGGAAGTCAGGCGCATCTCCATTGCTTCCAGCTAGTAAATGTAAACCTAAGACTGAAATGGAGCCTCCGGTAACTACTGAATCCACAAATGAGAACTTGACTAAGAACCAGAAAAAAAAGATTAAGAAGAAGGCCAAGCGGACTGCACAGAAGGGTACTGGAGAAGAAACCTCTGGGGATTCTGAATCCAGCATTGGATTGCCCGGTCTAGAATTATCTAGTCATGAAGTGAAACTAAATGGATACTCTGCTGAACAAGGAAAGAAGAGTAATAGAGGACTCAGTCGTGCCACAAAACAAAGATTATTGAATTCAGTAGATGCTAAATGCAAGTTGGTTGATTTTGGAAATACTTGTTGGACATACAAGCAGTTCACATCGGATATTCAAACCAGGCAGTATAGAAGTCCAGAGGTTATTCTTGGATCCAAGTACTCAACTCCAGCAGATCTATGGTCGTTTGCCTGCATATGTTTTGAGCTTGCCACTGGCGATGTTTTGTTTGATCCTCATTCTGGAGACAAGTACAGTAAGGATGAGGTATGGCTTCTAGTATCATTTTATGTCCCTTGATAGAAGAGCTTCTTTTCTTTCTTGAATTATGGAATCATGTTTCTGTGAATGGATTGGATGCTAAATGAATCTTTTCTCAAGGATGAAGATTATTTCCTAAATTCCTCAAAAGGATTTTTTTTCTTTATCCCCCCCCCCCCCTTTTTTTTTGGCATATTGCTAATTTTGTTGATAGTGAATGTTAGTAATTCTTCCTTGAAATCCTTTTGTGGACTTCTATTTACTGACAAGTGAGTGAACTGTTAAACTTGAGAGCTTATCTTGTATCCCGTTCACTGCAATTACCTGTCATTGAGCTTGACATGCCTTATATTTACAGTGTATGAAGCTGTTGTTTACTTTTGTAGTTTACTGTTTCTATGATTCCTGTAAATGTTGAACACTACTTGAACTCTTTCTGTGCAAGGGTCGTATTTAGGTCGTGAGCATTGATTTATTGGTTCTGTCTTTTTTCTTTTGGTTTTTATCAGCAAGATTCGGTAAAATTGTTAATGATGTGAGCATATCTTTTGATTGGTGGTCTGTGGCTTAGATCTTTTGAGCACTGCCTCAGTGGGTTGACCTGGCCAGGAGTATGTGTAATGGCTAACGGGTATCTTAATGGCCAAGAATTTATGCCGGTGTCAAAACCTCTGTGAATATGTATCTTTCAGCGACTAGTTTAAATCAGTGACTTATGACTATAACGTTATTCTGCAGGACCACCTTGCTCAGATGATGGAGCTGCTGGGCATGATGCCTCGCAAGGTAAACTAATGTGTTCTTCCTTTATTGTTTTTGTTTCCTTGAATCTTTTGTTCTTTTTTATGTATTTGTCATGGTTTCTTTATTGTAAATTTTTGAGAAGACAGAATATTTAAACCTTTTTGCAACTTGCATGTTGATTTTTGTGAATACTGTTTGAAATTGCACAACTTTTGCAGGTAGCTCAAACCGGACGTCGTGCAAATGAGTTTTTCAACAGAAATGGGGATTTAAGACACATTCGTGATTTAAAAATTTGGCCACTCAATAAAGTGCTTGTTGACAAGTATGGTTTTGGGGAGCAAGATGCGAAGGACTTGGCAGATTTCCTCATCCCTATACTTGATTTTGTTCCTGAGAAGAGGCCAAAAGCTGCACAATGCCTTAATCATCCATGGATTAGTTCAGGTCCTCAGCTTTTGGTGCTTAGTAGTCAAGTCCAGGCTGCAGGTAGTGAAATTTGTGATGATAAAAAGGCAGAGATTGAAGATAGAGGGGATATTGAAGCTGGAGTGAGGAATCTGGTTCTTGATACTGACTCCAACATGACAGAAGATTTGAAACCTATCTCTATCTTGTCAACGACAACTGCAGGCTAGTTTGTGCTTAAATTGGTCCTGTTCTGTTTCCAGCTTCAAATTATGCTTCTTATACGGCACAGTCTGAATTTTTATTGAAGTACTTGTCAAGTTGTCATGTGGCATGTGCTTAACAAGACATACTTCGGATCATTGGTAGACGGCGCTGGAGGTATATATGATTGGCTGAGCATTTTCAGTTACATTATTTAATGCAGTGGGGCTAGTAAAGGAATGATGTACCTGTCGGGAAAAAAGTAAGGATGTGAAAGTAGTCTTCCAAGCATCCTTCCTAATTCTGGGTCAAATTTGGTTCTAATTTTTGCCGGATATCAAATGTACATTTGAGTGGGATTATACAACTTTGGAGCTTGTTTCTTTTACACTTCCTGCATTTTATATACTGCTATTTGAACTTCCATTTTTATTTATTTATTTATTTTTTTTTTTTTTTTTGGCGGTGGCTCTCCAACATATGGCGGTAGCCCAAGAGTTTAGAAATTCATGAAGTGGGCAGAAAACCTGCGCCAAGGATAATTCCTTATGGAGGAGGGTGGTGTTAAAACTTTGAGACATTTTCTTATGGTATGCAAATTGAGATGATGGATGGGGGAGAAGATTGGGGATAAATAGTTAAGTGGCGGAAGGGAGTTCATAATGAATGGCAAGAGCGACATGTTGCCAAATTCATCATTCCAAATTATATCAAAAATATGAATTCATACAACAGCCAGCAGAGCAAGGGGTTCTTACATATCTTCCTGGGTTAGATCTGAAATTAATCAGCAGCTTGTTAGGGTACATTCACACGATTGTGGCGACTATAATTTGTTTTAAAAAGATGGCCATTCTGTGGGATCCAAGAGGCTGAGCCTGCTGGGATCCAGTACTGTGGTTTTTGCTGTAAGCTTAAGCGGGTGATTAATCTAATTATGTTTGCTTGGAAGGTAATGCCTTGACTCTCAGTGAAATTTATTTTCGTTGTGAAATGTAGTTTTGTCATGTAAAGATGCTTTCATAAAGAAATCAAGATATGTTCAACCTGTTATATTAATGCAGCAACAATCCAACTCAGTAACTCGTAGATGACCTGATGCAAATGTTTTAATTCCTCGTGACAGATCTTTGCCTATGAATACAAACATGGCAACAAATTGAGGTCCTAAGGAGCAGTACTAGTTCCTTGAATATTTTGATCTCATTCTCGGTGTCCCTTATAAGCTGTTTCAAGGCGTGACGACTACGAACATCTGGAATTATCAGGTGGAGGAATCTACTTGATGTACTTTGGATGATCAGACATTCTCCATATAACACAAGACATTTATAAATTATGCTATACTAAAATGTGTAAATCAAAGCAGCAAAACTGACCTCAACAATAACCATAAATAATTATAAGAAATATTCACAAGAACCTCGAATGAAATCTAGAGTTTGTATGTGTATATCAACAACACTTGTACACTTGTATGATAGAGTATCCTTGCCCAAAAGAAAGGTTGTGAGTCATTGGTACTTGGTAGTTGACTCATTTAAATAGTACGCATGTTATAAATACGAGTAAATTTGTTAACTTTCCTTGTCATTTGTCCTCGCCATTCATGCAACTATCGAGTGAAGCGACTCCCTAATAGTGATATTTAACCAATCATAATGCATCCTTCCAATTGAGTAGAGATATTGCTACAATTTGTATGGGTGGAGTAAAATTGGAGAGCATGACTAGAACTCCTCTCAACCTCAATCTAAATATAAGCCGTTTAAAACGTTAGTGTTAAGAAATTAAATATTCCCCTCTATTCTATGAAGTTAGGCCTGTTTCTCTTCAACAACAAATATATAGTTTTAGTCCCAAAAATAATACGAAGTATTTAGTAGTTATGTGGAATTATAAAACATGAAAATTTGATATTTTTAAAATAAAAATTGAAACAAATCTAGTTACATATTATAGAGTACATCCTACATTCCTACATGACCATGTAATAAGTGAATACAAGTATAATTTAACAATCAAAGTTATAAAAATTTAACCACATGAACGGACAATAATAACTGAGTAGAACTTTATGAAACAAATGTAGTATGAGTAGTATTATCAGTGATAATACACATGTGTTCATACAGAGTATATGTCAATAAATACTTGTATATACCATTATAGAACGGAATGCTTCTTAGTATCGTAGAACAAATTTTATAGACTAACAATAAGTCAATAACAAAATTGATTGACTTTGAAATAGGAGACTAGAGTACTTGACTAGTTGTCCAACTTCTAGGCGTGAGGCCAGGAGTCGAATCTCACCAAGCTCATTCTATGAGAGATTTCCTTAAAATTCTCCCCTTCTAGGATGAGCCTTCTTCTTAAAAAAGAAAAAAGAGAAGAAAAAAAAAAGATTGATTTCTAGGATGAGCCTTCTTCTTATCTGGAATTAGACTATTAGAGGGAGTAATTCACAATTTGTTTCTAAAAGGTCACGTAAAAATTGGGTACAAGAATGAAACGGAGATGAAATCATAAACCAAACAGCTTGCTTTATTTAGATATTCTGTGATTTTGTCAATTACTACCAGCAGTAATGAGTTTCTTACATGAAAAATACATGTAGTAAGTATTACACCCCCTGTTTACATGATCTCTCTTCTACACTTATACAGCCTTCCCCCTAAAATTACAGTAAAAATAAATTAAGCTAGCTAACCTAGTGAAGCAGCCCAACAATGAGGTGGTTACACTAATCTGATATACCCAATTTACTTTGATTTTTGAGAGAACAAAGCTACAATATTTTCCTATTCTTGAGATATACATACATAAGGTAAAATCCAACCACAATACCAATCATAATCCCTGCTGTTGTCGTCCAAAATGCAAACTGCATCAAAAGAGCGGACTATTAATTTCACCTCAGATTGAAAATCGACAAACAAACAGTGCCTTAAATGAATATGTACATTTTTTTAAATGAACATGATCGTGATCCATACAATACTTGTCTTGTACAAAAGTCGTTATGAGTATATAATCATAAATATTTTGGAAATTGGTGTTAGTAGAAAAAGAATATAGATTGTGACTTTTTTTAAAATAAATACTGAAATTAAGTGAGCATTTGAAGGGGAAGATTTCAGGGTTTACCTATATCTTAGGCATGCAATCTACTTAGATCTCATATTACAAAGAAGCTATATTGTAGTGAAACACATGTTGGCCCTATCTTTGAAATAATGATATTCAAAATATAACTAGACTACCAAAGACATACCACATGTTCTTCAAGATAGGACCTCAAATTCATTCCAAATATGCCTGCGATCAAAGCTCCAATTGCTACGCAGAATGTGCCTACTTGGAGGAGTAACTCCACTTTGCTTACTTCGAGTCTCCGGGAACTGAATTATGAGAAAACATTTCTGTTATTAGCAAATGTCCACAACAATAACTTAAGTCTCAGGAGCAAAAAATGATATAAGAGCATAAAAGATCAATATATACACGCTTTTTGATTTGCCATAAAAATGATCTTGCTCTTTAAGTTGAGGAATAATGGGTAGGCAGGGCTAACATTGTATGCAAGTTCTGGGAATACTAACTTCATTATTCTAAATTAACAAGTTTAACATTACGGTTTGGGCAGTAAGAGACATGCCTTGAGCCTCCAATGACCTAGGTTGCACAAGAGTATTCCCAAAAGAATGAAGGATATGGGTAAAGAATGTATTCCCAAAACTGACCTTAAATTTACAGCAATGGAGTCTTCCATCTCTTTGGCAGAGTCAAGAAGCCTTTCAGCTTGACCATGGATAGATTCACACCTGCAAATGCAAGCAATGAGATTCGTCTCACAACTCTAAAGCTTTCGTAAAATGAATAGGAGCTCTCTTAGACTAGCTTCCCCAAAACACACTACATATCATTGCAGATTTGAAAGTGTTTTACAGCCTACTAGTCTGCATGATGCATATGAAAGATATTAAATAATGTACGGAATTACTGAGATCAAGTAGATCATTCTGGCAACATACAGCACAAGCATTCTTAATAAACTGCCTGGTCATATTACCTCTGAAGATAATTTTCCAACAACATTTCAATTTCTTCCTCCTCTTCTGCATCAGACACAATATGTTAGAATCCCATTTCAAAGATTTCATGATAAGTGCACACAACAATTTTCCCCTTTTGACTCACCCTCTGCAATATCTTTGTCCAAGGCGACTGAGCATTCTAAGGAGTGAGTAATTCTATCAACTGTGCAATTCCTTCCCATGATACATATCCTGCGTAATTCCTGCGTGTCTTCCAAAAGATCAAGCAGCATCTGCCTGAGATCCCCAGCTCGAGATCCCAACTCAACCTTGTCAAATAAATATATTTCAGGTTGTTTATTGCTAAAATGAAAGTGCTACACTGCTTGTTTATTGAAAAAACGACAAGACATACCAATGTTTGCTTGCTAGTGCGAAGTTGTTCCAAGATATCACCTGTTAATCGATTAGGGAGAACCTCAAGTAGTGATTGAACCTGAGATGCATGAAAGAATACTTTCCTTACAGTTTGGAATGGAATTACAAAACCAAAGGAATATACAATATAGAATAAGTGAATAACCCCAATCTCTAATGATTTTCAGAAATTTAAGAATAATTTGGCATAACTTTCCTATTTAAGGACAAAGCTAGCTAAGTGATGAACACCCAAAACACAATTGGAATACAATTTTAGTTTCCAAGTTCTGGATTGCCAAGATATCAAATAAGAAAATAACAAAAGCTATACTCACTGTGTTGCCATACTCACACGAGGTTCAATTTCCATCATCCTTTGCTCATAGCGCTGTATTCTTGAAACCAAGGCTGCTTCGACAACCTAGAAACATTAACCCTCAGAAGTTTGGAATTCTAAAGTATTGCATACTATCACTAGACATTTCAACTGGCATGAAATCATCCGATATTATAAAGCAAACTTGACCACATAATAATGTTCTAGTCCATATAAACAGATTAGAGCCTAAGATAAAACAAATTCGTAACATTTAAATTTACCTCCAGTACAAATGGCATAGACAACACTCCATTTGTGTTCACAGACTTTAAACGAGGCAACAACGAGTCAATGAAAGCTTTTCCTCCCCTCCTGAAATAATTCATGTTGAAAGGTATGTTAGAAATCAGCAGAGAAATAATTTTCAAACAGCAAAAGCAATTCTGCAAGGAAAAAAATTTACCGGTTATAGTTAAATATGAGAACACGTTCCTGCATCACTATCGCCCTTAATGAACCCAAATTCAGTAGAATAGCATGCTCCCGAACCTATAACATATGTTCAAATGGATGATCAATCTTAACATACGAAATAAAACCTGAAATTGCAGCAGTGAAAAGGGTTTCGAGCTAACATAAGCAATTCGATAGGTTGTAGCCCAAATCAGTAAACTGCCACTAGTTCATGACTGATTAACATATAGTATTGTGAGTATTGTCTATGACTTTTTACTTAGGCCCTGTTTGGTTTGATGTAAAAGGTTTTCATGGAAAATGAGTTTTCCATTTTTTTCCCATTTTCCTTTGTTTGGTTTGTTAAGGGTGGAAAATAATTTTTCCAAGGGTGGAAAATTTCATCCTTAATGATGAAAAACATTTTCCTTCTCAAAACAAGGGAAGCCACAATTTCCTCTCTTCCTTACCTCCTTTTTTTTACTTTCCTCTCATTCATCCTTACATTTCCACTCTTATTTTTTTATTTTTCTTGGACTTTTCTTGTATGCAACCAAATAAAGGAAAACTAATTTGCAATTGTGTTTTTCCTTGAAAATATGTTTTTCATGATAACTAATTTTCCATTGAAAATATTTTACATTAAACCAAACGGGGCCTTAGTTTATTTTACTTCCTTTATTGGCCTCAATTACTTGTATGTCACTAAGCAGTAAGAGATCTGATTATGTACCAGTAACGATGGCATCGAGTTTGTCAACCACAAGGACGGATCAACACTGCGAATATCACGAGGACGAAGACCTGACAATAAACAAGCTCATAAACAACTGTCCAAAGTTACAAAAACTAATTATCAAGTTAATAGTCATGTTGATCATGTAATTTGAACTAGTAACGCGACAACTAAATTCGAACAAAGAGACCATGTATGATCTCAAACTCACCACTAGTTTTCAGCAAATTCCTTCTATTAATCGTTTTCGTCGATACCATTCCATCCGACTTCACCTCCACCACCTATTCATCCATTACATCAGAACATAACATAATCGAATTCAACAGAACAAAATGATTTTAAGATCAAGCTAGTAAAATTGCATATCAAGTGACATCATCGAAAATAAATCAACAATTTCACGCGCATTTTATAATTAAAAATTATTGATCCTCCTTACGAAACTGTCATTTGATTTGCATTCTTTGTTAAGTAGAAACAAAATTGATAAACTTGGATTTACTCCGATTATAAGCATTAATTAGTAGAATTATTCACAAAACTACTCGTGAAAGTTATGAACAAACCTGATAAACAGGCTCAGGAATTCCAAGAGGAGAAGGAGGAGGCGAAGAATTCACTTTGGGAACATCATTACCAGAAGCAGAATAATGCTCAACTTTAACATTACCAGCAATTTCTCTGTCATCAAAATCAACAACACCGGAACCATCACGAGTCTCGGAATCGCTAATCTGATCTTCGGCAGTAGATTTGGCGAAGCATCTAGATTTCGGCGTAGATTTTACGGCGAGTGCGAGGTTGAAGTTGCGGTGGAGAGAGAGGGAGAGGGAGGGAGTTGAGCATGGCGGACGAAGGAGTAGGAGGTCGGAGAAGAGGTGAGAAGGTGGAGGAGAGAAGAGGGAATGCGGTGGTAGAGATGGTGGCGAGGAAGTTGTTGTCGCCGGAAACATGGAGGTTGTGGAGTTGGGAGTATGATCATCAACAGAGGAAAGATGGGATATGAATTGAGGATAATGTTGTTGTTATGTTAGTAGTCAATTTTTGAATATGTGGGGTTTATAGTTTGTGACTTTGTGTGGTTTTGTGGTTGTAATTGTTATTCGTCATTCTAAGCAATGTAGTGCCAAAGGGGAGTTTAACTTTATTTGAGTTTAAATCACGCAATCTAAATGGATAGCATTGTAGCAACTAGCACGAGGTGTTAAGGAATAAAAATGAGATCGAGTTAACTTGAGAGTTGAGACATAACAGTGGTGGCTTTGGAAGTTGGGAATGTATCAAAGCTTGTCAAGTCTAGAAAATTGAGCTCGGCTCGTGTTTTGGAACTCCTCAAGGTGAGACTGATTAGGCTCGAGATTTGATCAACCTTGACTCGAATCTTAAATACTCCCTCCGTTTCTTTTTACTCGCAACAAACTAATAGTTTGCGGACTCCTAGGCAAAAGATGGTAAATGTAATTTACAAAAAATAAGGACACGTGTTTAGAATTAATCCAACCTTAAAAAAAAAAAACAAAAAAACAAAAAAACAAAATCAATTACAACCACCTATCACCAGCAGTAGCACCATACCACCACCACCTAGCACCAGACCACCACCACCACCTATCACCACCACGAGTTCGACCCAGCACGACCCAGAACCACCACCCACAACCCCAAAACCACCGCCTACAACCCCAAAACCACCTCCTACAACCCCGAAACCCACAACCACGAACCCAGAACCACGACCCACCGCCTACAACCCCGAAACCCGAAACCCACATCCCACAACCACGAACCACGAAACCACCGCCTACAACCCCGAAACCCGAAACCCACATCCCACGAACCCAGATCCACCACCCACCACGCCGAAACCCACCACCCACAACCCCACAACCCACAATCCCAAAAACCACAACCACGAACTCGAACCCAAAACCCCAAAATCGGAAACCCACAACTCTCTATCATCAATTAAAGCTTTAATTGGTCAAATTTAACCATCAAAACTCTAGATCTAGAGTTTTCATGATTAAATTTGACCATTAAATCTTCAAATTTAAGCTTTAGTAACGGCAAAAAGAGGAGAGAGAGAGTAAATACGACTCCCGGCGAGTCGGCTAGTCGGCGACAAACAGCAACGGGACACGGCAGTGGTTGCGGTGGTGTTCGGGGGAGATGAACAAAGAGAGAGAAATTTCTGGGTAAATAGAGTGGAGATCCGGTGGTAGAAGTGGTGGTGGTGGTGGTTGCCAATTAAGGTGATGATGAAATTAGATGGAAAGAGAATGATTTTGGTAGAAATGCTAAGTTAATAAGAAAAAATTAGTAGTTTAATTAGGGTTTTTAGAAGAAAAAAAAAGTAAGGGTAATGTTGTAAAATCACACAAAAAAAACTTAACATAAAAGGAAATAAATAAGTTTGTTGCAAGTAATGTGTAACGGTCATTTATAGTATTTGTTGCGAGTAAAAAGAAATGGAGGGAGTATTTGATTTAATAATGCATCCATATTTCGACTAAAGAACAAGGACATCATCGTTCTCATCATCGTCCTCTGATTTACTCTCTCTCTCTCCCTTCTTTTTCGTTTAACATTTCATCTTCTATTTTTATGTACCATGCTTTTTACTTTCTTCATCCTCTTACTTTTTCCCATATTTTATTTCTTTCCATGTCAATAAAATATCCTCTTTTAATTCTCCCGATGTAATTAAAGTGTCACGTGTCTGCTTATGGTTGGTTGATCGCACGTTGATGAGTAAAAAATAGGATATCTACAATTTTTTGGGTGAGCTTCCACGCATCAGAGAACAAGCCCAAATGCTCATTGTAATAAAAATAAAATATAACTTCGATGCAATGCTCATTGTCGTATAATATTATAAAAAACATAGAGTTTAAATATAATAATAATAATAATAATAATAATAATAATAATAAACAATACGGAGTAACATATACAAAAAAAAAAGGCCAGAATTCAATATATATATATATATATATATATATATATATATATATATATATATATATATATATATAAAAGAGAGAGAGGGAGAGAGGGGAATGCTCATGTAAGAACCCTCCTCTATATAAGAACCCAATCTTATATAAGAACCAATCTCAGCCCTTTATTAGTTTTGATCTAACCATCTAAAATAATCTTTTATTAATGACATTTATGTAATTTTGAAGAGTTAATATTTAGAAAATATAAAAAATTTTAGAACATAGCAAAAATTTTAGAACATAAGCTAAAAAAATTTAGAACATAAACAGAAAAAATTTAGAACATTGAAAAAATTTAAGACATAAGAAAAATAATTTAGATTATAAGTTCAAAAAAATAATTTGTGTTATAAAATTAAAGAGAAAGAAGAGAAATTAGGGAGAGAATAGATCAGTCTATCTTATTCTATAGAGATCAGAGGAGATATATATATATATATATATATATATATATATATATATATATATATATATATATATATATATATATATATATATATATAACTAGGGTTTGCTTAGATAATAATATACCCTAGTTCTAGAACATTCCGAAATGATAAAGGAGGATAATGGATATCCATACAATATTTCATAACACTCCCCCTTGGATGTCCACTATCGAAGATTGTGCCTCGTTAAAACCTTATTAGGAAAAACCCTGTGAGATAAAAACCTAATGAAGGAAAAAGAGTACAACATTTTTCGTAATACGCTCGAGATGCTGCCTCATTAAAAAACTTACCAGGAAAACCCGATGTGGGACAAAACCGTGGTCAAGGGAAAAAGAGTGCAGCCGTATTTTCTCCCCTGATGAATACATAACTTGAGATCTTCTAGTGTCGCGGCAATGAATCCAATATGTTGGATATCTTTTAATAAGTCGGTAAAATATCACTTGTTGATCTTTGATCCTCCTAAATTGAAATTGCATCTTCAAGTCTTCACGCTAACATGTGAAGTGTCTTCATTTCACCATACATGTGTTTATCTCTAATATCAATATTTCAAATCTCTGTTTAATAGTTGATTCAAAGGATAAACTTATACGGTTATGACTTCTTCTGGAAGTCGTTAATAATAAATATTGATGATCATTATTTGATCAAACATTCATTAATACGAGTAATAATTTGATGATAAAACTTAGCTTGATATTATTAATATCATTCTTCTCATATGAATTATAATATAACACACGTAATTATATACGCTAATCATGGTTCTTCTGGACCATAAGAAAACATTGTCACGCATAAGTGATTCATTGATATTCTTTAGACGTTTCATAATTGACACGATAGCTCTCTTGTAAATACAAATAGTTAATTTCATTAACTCTCATATGCTCAAACTTCAGGTTGAGATGTTAATAATGTTATCACGTACATAGATTTTCAAGAGTTTGATAATAATTGCAAATTCAAGATATAAACTTTGTAAGGCTGGATATTACAATAGGTCGTATATAAGTTCTTCAGGAACTCTTCTTAATTCATAATGTGCAATTAAATCGGTGTCATCAATAATTTCATCACAATTATAAGCCCATTGGAATATTAATCTCTTTCTAATTTTTCATCAAAGTTGTAAACATACCTTACTATACTTTGAATGAACATTTACATACACCACAGTTATTGTATGAAATTAATGCATGCAATATGAGATATAGAAAATATGATAACATATTAACAAATATACAATAAAGTAATGCATCTAACAACTTCCTATATATGCAATAAATATCCATTAACTTATGACTCACACATGCACATGAAAATAAGACTCAAAATGATGCAAGACACTGTACAGTGTGGATTTAAAAATTCATATTTCATTGGACTTCGGGTCCATGATAAACTTATGATCATTATCATTATGTCGACATCAAAATGTACATATATTTCGGATCCCTTACTCATTAGTCCATTCCATTATGCATATGCATATTATTCACCGGTTCCATTATGTACCGGTATTATAAAATTCCTTTAACTTACATTCCGCATGCTATTTTACTATGATATCTTAATACATTTCTCATTGGTACCATCATAACTTTTCTTACATCATAGGCCATCTATTATAATAATTCAGATATCTATACCACTTTTAGGGTATTTCATACACTATGGTATTTATATACTATTACACTATTAGTGTCAACTGCACTATCTTGCCAAATATCATATCTATTAAACAAATCTTTATTTTGGAACCGGTCATATACAACCTACACTTCAGGTGTAGTGATTCAAGTACAATTGGCAAGATTTTATCCCAATGTATAAACATAATTAATATGACCAAAATGTATCTTCAACGCTACGCAACATGAGTCATAACTGAATACAAATCAAATCATAAATGTGCAACATATCTTGATAATATATATACAAAAGTTGGCATATAAATTTTCAAACTACCATTATAGGGATCATATATATTATTTATTTATTTATTTTAATTAAATTTTTCAACTTTTGCTAATTCGTTCTTCTCCCTAAGTTGGTAAAATATCTCATTTATAGGGGCATCTTATTATATACCAAATTAGTAGACAATTTTACATTAATAAAATTCACTTCATTAGGAGGATCACATTCAAAATTTATTTCCTTAGAAGATTTGTATTAAACAAGTTTCATCTCTTCTGGAGAACAAGTTCAACGAAGAATCATTACTTCGTTAGCTTTACATTGCAGGTGTATTTATTATATATTACCCTTTTCATAATATCTTCTGAAAACAATGTCAATGGGGAGACATGTGTTGTGCAGTTGTACGTTTTCCATTCTTTTTCAATTTCTTATGTGCTGACATATAATAGCCCCAATCAAAAGAATTGTTATACAAGCATAGATCACTTGCTTGTAATTCTACTAGGTGGTGATCTTATGGATCTTTAAAGCTTTAAAGAATGTATTTGGTGAGCTTCTTGTTCTCTGATAGTTTACAATAATATATACGTTATTTTGGTGAACTTCTAGTCACCCATTACTCCTTTTTATAACTTATTAACTCTTGAAATTTTCATCAATACAAATTAGTATGAATCAGAATCCAAATATATATAGCTCAATCTCAATGTTATGTCTTGCCATTCAATTCATTTCATACATCTAACATTGAGA